CAGTGCAGCAACTAGGCTCTCCCATTTCCAAAGGTCGGCACAGGGTCGTCCTCCCTGAGACATGATGGCTCCATTGGGTGGATCCAGTTCCAGCTCTAGGCTACAACAATTAAAACGGTATAGATAATGGATGGATGGATGGAAAATGAAAGCTAAATCAGAGTGTACCTTGCACTGCAATGCAAGTTGAGAAGATAACGCTTTCATAATTCTAAAAATTCCTTGAAGCAGGTTTCAAAGGAGATTTTATAGCTTGAACAATGTCGGCAGCCTTACTCTCAGCTTCAATCTGCACCATGAAACAAAATGGCAGATGTTGGCCTGCGATGGAGGGGTCATCATGATCTCATTACATCGCAACAGAAGGGGTAAAAAAGTAGAAAGAAGAGATGGTGAAGGAGAGAAAAGAAGGATCATTAGAAGGAGAGATGAGAGGGATGTTACTGCTCATTTTTGAAAGGTCAGTTGGAGTACTAAAGGTAACACAGGTAAGTGAGGCTTGAGACGTTTTTGCAGAATCACTTGACAAAACTGAACACACACAGTGTTCTCCTCTCTGTGTTTAATCATCAGTGGAGAGCCAGCACACATTTGTGTCTACGAGACACTCACTCACCATCTCTCTCTCTTGCTCACCCTTGACAGCCAGTGAGAATATGAATGAAGTGTGAGGCGTAGGGAAGAAGAACGGACAAGATAAGTAAATAATAAAGGACAAAACGTTCTCTCACAAATTGAATCTCTATGTTTACTGGTTGTTGTATAATCTTCTGCATCACTGCCTCCTGGTGGACTGGAGTGAAGCCATATGTTGTTCATGTATCAGCAGGATGATTTGCCTTATGCCTGCCTGTTCTTCAGACTGTGGTGGAAATGCAGAAACCTTTTAATTATTTGAAAAATAGTTCCTGGGACTAAAACTTCCAGGTGCTTATGGTCAAAAGTTAGGTTTGGTAGGTTGTCTCTAAAACACTAACTCCCATTTGTTGAAATCCTCTTCTCGTCCTGATAGCAGTCAATAAGGTTGTAAGGAAGAAAAAGAAAAGAGCAAGTGTCTTTGGTTCTCGCAGAAGTGTAACTTACAGGCCCATTCATGTCGTGATTCGGTCCGAATGCCTTGATTGTCTGGTGTACCGGTCTGTCACAGACTGACTTGCTTGCCTGTGTTCTCACTGACTAGAGTCTTCAGCCACGGAGACATAAACCGTTGAACCAGAAAAGTCACCTTCTAGCACTTTTCAGGCAGTGTGTGCTGCTTTGAGGGTGGGATGTATCAGTTGCATGTTGTTGCAGACTCTTGCAAGCTTTTCCAGGATTATCAACCCTAGATTTATCCTGATACAAGACACAAGAAGGGACAATTGTAATAAAGCTTGTAGAAATACTTTGGTCATCGTGGACACTGGATGCAAACAACAATTTGCAGTTTCAAGGTCAGATCCTTTTTAAAAAATATATAAGATCATTGCTCGAGGTTAAAAAACAGATTTATAAATTGCAAATCAAATCAATAATATCAGGGATTTTATGTGTGACGACAAAAGATGGATAAAAAGGGATAAAAATGGCGAGGAGAAGCCAGAGGACAGAGACGAGCTAAGTGTCTGGGGAGAATCAAAAAGGAGGATGGAGGACAGAGGAGAAAGAGGGAATTTACAGGGGGAAGGAGACGGGTGGAGGAGACGTCCTTTGTGGATTGTGGAAAGGTCAATTAGACAGTTTACTCGCCGCCATGGAACAGAATTACATACCACACACACACACACACGCACACATCCCCAGCCAGACGCTCACTTAGACATGAGTAGAGGTTTGGATTTCATTATCAGGCTGCCGGCTTGCCCATCAATTAGCACGAATAAGATTGTATCACCTTTCGCTGAGGGAATAGGTCTGCAATCACAGCTCCATGCTGTTATCCACACACACTGTATCTCCAAGTCTGCCCTTATTATAAAACATTTACATTCTATTAACAAATCTTTTTTTACCAGTGGATGAAATAATCTAATCTTAAATCCTGTGGTATGAGGCAACAAAAAACCTTGAAGTGTGAATGGATTAAGTGGCCAATAGAGGACTTGAGGAAAGTACAACAGTGAACAGTGTCCAAGTGAGGAGATTAATGGTAGGATGGTGGCACAGGACAGGAGAGATGAAAGAGAGAAGAGAGGGATGAGAGGATGAGGACAGGCTCGATGGGTTGTCTCCCATGGCAACCCTGTGTTGCCGAGGGACACACACGCACACGCACGTACTCATGAATATTCATGGAGGTAAAATGGAGAGAGGCTCATACTATATCCGTGCCATTTTCAATAAAGCATATTTCAATTAGAGGCAGAGAAATTAATTTCTTATCAATTAATGTGATTTCAATAATACATATGTAAAATTAGAGGAAGCAGACGCAGAAAGAACAAGTGGAGAATGGAGAACATTTTGGGATAAACCGGAAATAGTTGAACATTTGGGGAATACTTTGTTTTCGTGTGGGAATTAAATGTGATAAGACAATTATCAGCTTAATTCTGCACAAAGAGATTTTAAGGAACTAGGTTGTTAAAGCTTCACAAAACCAGAATATTTGTTTTTTAATCTTGGAAACATGTTAAAATTTAAAGAAAAGACAATCAAATGGCAGCTAGCTTCTCTGTGAAATAACTAATACTGTTGTTGGGATGTTCCTCTAAAGTGAGAAAGCATTAGGCTGGACTCACACGCATGCGTTGCACTTAATGCTGGGCGCTCTCTACGCTTGGTGCTGGTGTCATTGTCATAACGACAACAACCACGGTTAATGCTTAGGACTTACATAAGCCAGGCCATGCCATAGTTATCAATGCAATGCTAAATATAAGTACGCAGGAAATAAAATCCACAACCAGATGAACCCCAATGCAATTCCATAATGTCAGTAGTGGATGAGTTTAGGTTGACACATCCAACGCATGCATGTGAGTCCATTGCAAGTGCCACATCTGCCCATAGGCCTACAGATGTGTGCTTCTATAAGTCCAAACTGAAACTGGTTGTTTTATCTGGTTATCTCTCTTTCAGAGTGATCGACGCTTACCTTGGGTGAAGGACACACACACACACACACACAACATAGAATACAATAAGTGTGTGTTGCATTGGTCGCTCAGGCTGATGGACATTTACCTTGTGCTAAAGGTTATATCACTCCCAGCGAGAGGGAGAGGGGGGCCTCAGATGACCTCGACTGTAACACACTGTAACACAATTCACTCCTGCAACGCTCCCATAAGACCACACAGTAAGGTAAACACACACACACATTTGTGGTCTTCTGCCTGATTAAAACGTGTGAGCATGTGAGTTTTTCACTCTTACTATACACCAGAAAAGAAGAATAACAAAACTGTCCTACAAAATAATGCGATTGCTTAGAAAATCATTAAAACGTGTTCCCCTCCACTGGCCCTTTGACACATGCTGTACCTACAGTGAGATTACATCCATTGAAGATTTCTAAGTTATCTAACACACATCACAGAGCAAATGTGAGCACAAGTTAATGCAGCAGTGTTAAACGTTTAAGACATAGTGCATGTAGCTCATGTAAGTTTAGTTCAAGTCAAATCAGTTTTTTTGTAATGTATAAAGCTTATATAAACTCCAGATAGAATAAAATGGATGCCACAGTCAATGAACTCTGCTAACTACAACAACAGTGTAAAACTATGTCAGCGTAACAGAAATCAATTCAGGAACTACAGTAGAAACCATTTAAAACCATGCAGGATGTTATGTTGCTGATAATAAATCCAATCAATGCTTCCACGATTGTTTGTGCATTGTTTACAAGTTCTTGCTTGATACTGCAACATACTTTAATCCAACACTTATGTCAGATGGGTTTTGCAGATTCCATTTAAAATTTGTCTGGGAATCTGCATTACTGAAGAAAAGAAAATCAACTGATAATCATCAATATATTGTAGAACTCTTACACATACTGAACAATTCTGCAGCTTACAATCTCTATCCAAATGTTGTAACAGAGGAAGTATGTGTACCTGGGTAGTGAGGTGGCATGTAATGATGCAGAGTTCAGGATGGTGGACGACATGTAGTGAGTAAAACTTAACTACATTAACCATGCAGTGGTAACCTTAACCATGTCGAGCTGCCCTTGTCTGGGGCAGAGACGGAGAGCGTTCTGCTGAAGTCCAGTAAACTCACTTGTGTCCTTCTTCACAACCTGGATTTTTTCAATACCTTTGCCGAGGAGGTTATGGTTTCACCCCTGTCTGTGTGTATGTTTGTTCTTAGCAGGTGAATGTGGACATGCATTTTCCAATGTAGAGGTTTTGTGTGACATTATTTTCAGTGATTGTGGGAACTGAGTTGTTTTTTTTAAACTTTGGACTGATTAAACTCATGTTCTGGAATTGTCAGTCTTCATAAATCTGAACAGTCTGCTATATTCTGTGATAAAGGAGAAGCTACTGAAACTGAAAAGCAATTTTTCATTGATTAATTGACATGTGTATTTTTGCCAGTTGTTAGCGAGGCTGGTATTGTCTTCATCTAGTGAGACGGTTTGAGACTCCTCTCTCTCTGTCTATCATTCCCTCCTCTCTATCTCCACCTCTCTGTCTCTCTCTCTCCCTCCTCCTGTTTCTTCTCTCTCTCTGTCTCTCTCTCCCTCCTTCTCTCTCTCCCTCTCTGTCTCTCTCTCTCTCTATCCCTCTCTCTCTGTCTCTCTATCTTTCCCTCTCTCCCTCCTTCTCTCTCTCAATTTCCAAAGGAGCTCAATTTTCTCTCTCTCTCTCCCTCCCCTCTCTCTCTCCCTGTCTCTCTCTCTCTCTCTCAGTGCGTTTGCTTTTGTTTTTGATTGACAGGCGGCATTGTCGAATCAGATGGTCGGGAGCCACCTTGGAGCAGCAGCCCGACCAATAGCCGCTCGGGGGCGGGGCCGCCATGCTAATGTGTTGGCAGGGGAGACGCAGCGGTTCATTCATCTTCTTCCTCAGAGGTGAGTTAACGCGAAGGTTATTTTACACGAGGGAGGAAACTGGTTCTGGAGCCAAACGTCACGCTGACAGAAGCTGGGAGGAAAAGAAGAGGCTTTATTTTGCAGCCTAACAGGAGCTCATTCTCTTCCACACATCACAAGGTAAGTGGAGGACGTTGTTTATTTGTTTGGAGGCCAGCTTCATGTTAATGTGTGCAGGTGTTGTTAAACATTGGTCTCATTGGTGATGAGACAGGAAGTCATGGGCATCACTGAGCTGGGCTGGAATCCAAGGTGTTTACTGGAAGAGAACAGTGTCAGTGTTTAAACTTATTTATTCCTAAAAATGAGTAAAGTCGAGGTTTCACTCAGACTCAGTCGTCTTAAAGAGTTAGGCTTCCCTGTCTTGCTCAAGGACACTAAGGGCTGCAGAGGGAATTGAACCTGGGATCATTGCTTCCTGTTGATATTAAAAGAGGCACATTGGTGAGCATAAGGTGACAGGAAACACTTCCACTACCATTGTATTGTGCAGGTATGTGTTAAAGTGTAATATGCTCTATATACTGATTGTCAGATGAATGAATAAACTGTTCAGAGCTAATGCATTTATTCTGTGGGAGAATGAGGGGACGTGTGTCGCACCACCTTAACTGGACTCACCTGCAGATAAACAAGCATGAATGAGTGAATGAATAGAACTTTATTGTCCACCAAGGATGGACAATTGCCCGCAAATTGAAGTAGACGTTTGCTTGTGCATATTTATGATCACTGAATGCAGTTGCAGGATCTGTGCATCTCCATCAACAGTGTATTTGCAGATTTTAGTTTAAACTCTGCTGTTTTGCTCCCAAAGTCCTGACTTGTTGAGCTGTGTGAGTAAAGAGCAGGCTGCAGGCAGAACAAGTTCTTTCATTTTTATCAGTACTACCCTCCTATCCTCTGTGGATGACACCAGGACCTGCACAATCAATAGCACCAGCTTCCAGCGAGTGCTATGTGTGAACTAGTTCTCATTACTGATGGCCCCTCATGTGGCTGTGCATCACAGGGTCATATCAGATTGGTTACTGCATCATAGTAACTGACTGTGTGTGTGTGTTTGTATGTCTGCATATTTGTATGCCTCACTGGGTCTGTATGTAATGTGGTGTTCATTGATTGTGTTTATATACAGAACAAAGTCAGCAAAGCAGAGTTTAATGGAAACTAAGTCACACACACACACACACACACACACACACACACACACAC